TGGGAGATTGGAATTCCCTCTGCTCCTGAGCAGCTGGGCAGAGAAGAAAGGCAGACAAAATGTTTCAGTCTCTTAGAGGGTGGTTGTGGACTGGGGGAATAGCATATGGAATTGATATGGCGTGCTCTGCAGGGTGAACTCGTCATGTTTTCCAGGGTCTGGATTACCCTGAGATTTTACATTATACTAGGATTAGACATTGATAGGATGCCCATATCGTATAATTAGTATGTTATGCTTGTTAGTTCAATTTCATTCACCTTATAAATTTGTTAATTGACATAGGGACTGTTTGTGTCAAATTCACAAACAAGGACACTGGAGAGAAGGGAGTTAAGAGCCTCCCCAGCGATGGATGTATCAGATCAAGAATAGGCACTGTGGCCAGGCCTTGGTGGCGCATGCCTTTAATCCCAGCACTTGGGAGGCAGAGGCAGGTGGTTTTTTGAGTTCGGGGCCAGCCTGGTCTACAGAGTGAGTTCCAGGACAGCCAGGGCTACACAGAGAAACCCTGTCTCAAAAAACCAAAACCAAAACAAAAACAAAAACAAAACAAAACAAAACACAAAAAACAGCAACAACAAAAAAGACTAGGCATTGTGATATGTTCATTTATTTATTTATTACTTTCTGTATGCCACCACCTCTGCTTTATGTCGTCCCGAGGACTGAGCACAGGGCTTTCTGCATGTGAGGGAAGCACTCTACACTGAGTTATACCCTCAGCCCTGGACAGTGTTCTTTAAGGCTGATCCCAGATGAAGAACAGAAGGAGCACAGAGGCGGAAGACCTCCACAAGGGAGGGCAGCTGTGATATTCTAACTTACTCTACCTCATTATGTCTCAAGACACACAGTAAAAGAGACCACATCTTCACATACAACACTGAGGCATGCACATTTAATCCAAGCACTTAAGGGGCCAAGGCAGCAGAATCATACTTAGAAGCCAGCCTTTCTATATAGCAAGATTGGATTTCAAAAACACTAAAGTAGTCATTGTTGGTGGCACACGCCTTTCTTTGATCCCAGTACTTGGGAGGCAGTGGCAGGCAGATCTCTGGGTTTGAGATCAACCCAGTCTACAAAATGAATTCCAGGATAGCCAGAGTTACACAGAGAAAACCCTGTCTTGAAAAACAACAATGACAAAATTATTTTTATTATTCTTTTTTTGTTGTTGTTTTTTGTTTTTGTTTGTTTGTTTGTTTTGTTTTTTTGAGACAGGGTTTCTCTGTGTAGCCCTGGCTGTACTGGAACTCACTCTGTAGACCAGGCTGGCCTCGAACTCAGAAGGCTGCCTCTGCCTCCCAAGTGCTGGGATTAAAGGCATGCGCCACCACCGCCCGGCTATTTTTATTATTCTTATATGTCTGTGTGAATAGATGCCACACATGCACAGGTACCTATGGAAGCCAGAAGAGGTCATAGGTATCCTGGAGTTACAGATGGTTGTGAGTCACCCAAAGTGAGTGCTAAGAACTACCGAGGTCTTCTGAAAGACGAACATACAGTCTCAACCACTGAGCTGTCTCGACGGCTCCCAAATTGACGATCTTTTTAAAGCATTATTTATTTTAGGTGTATGGGTGTTTTGCCTGCATGCATGTATGTGCACCACTTGAATGCCTGGAGCCTGGGGATGCAAAAAAAGAGCATGGAATCCCTTGGAACTGGAGTGACAGACAATAATGAGTCCCCGTGTGGGTGCTGGAAATTGAATCTAGGTCCTCTGCAAAAGTTGTCAGTGTTGTTAACACTGAGCCATCTCTCTAACCCCCCAAATTCACTTTTTTTTAAAAAAAAAAAATGCGTACTGGTGTTTTGCCTTCATGCATGCCCATGTGAGGGTGCCAGGTTCCCCTGGAACCAGAGTTACCGACTCCTTCTCTCTAAACTTGCTTTTCTTTTTTTCTCCTTTCAAGGCAGGGTTTCTCTGGACTTCTCAGTGTAGCCTGGACTGTCCTGGAACTTACTCTGTAGACCAGGCTGGCCTCGAACTCATAGAAGTCCGCCTACTTCTTCCTCATGGGTGCTGGGATTAAAGGCATGCGCCACCGCAATTCAGCCAAAACTCACTTAATAATACCTGTTCCTTTCTTCCATCCCTGCCTCCTCCCTTCTTCTTCCTCCTGGGACTAGAACTCAGGGTCTTAGTCTTGCTAGGGAAGACTAATGGCTCCCCTGCCATTCTGCCTCCTTCCCAACCCATGTAACCATTACATGGGCAGCCCGGGGCGTCACATGCGTCCGCTCCTGGGCAGCAGACAGCTTCACGCCATCTACAAAGCTTTTTTTTTTTTCTCTTCTGAAACTGAAGCATGTGCCTGTGATCCTAGCATTTGAAGGCCGTGTGGTCTACCACCTCCCGGCTGCAGGAGGCATGAAGCTCATTTCAGGGATTGGATTCCCAGGACCTTGCGAAGCACTGACCACTGTTTTGTTCCCTTGTCTCTGTGGTAAGGTGCCTTGATAGACAGTAGCGATCCCAGTATTACCCATCTGCTTCTAAAGAGAATCTAGTGAGCAGATGTCAGAGTTTGTAGTTTAAGAGGGCTGTGTGCTGCCTACCTCGCTGATGAGGAGGGCTTGTGGACAGGGCCGCAGCATGCTTCCTGTTGCTGGCCTGAAACTTGCTATCTTCCGGCCTTCCAAGCTGGTTCTCCTCTTCCTCTTCTCCTTCCTCTTCCTCCTTCCCTTCCTCCTCCTCCTCCTTCTCCATCTCCTAGTCTCCTTTTTTTTTTGTTTTTGTTTATGTTTTTGCTTTTGTTTTTTCGAGACAGGGTTTCTCTGTGTAGTCCTGGCTGTCCTGGAACTCACTCTGTAGACCAGGCTGGCCTCGAACTCAGAAGGCTGCCTCTGCCTCCCAAGTGCTGGGATTATAGGCCTGCGCCACCACTGTTGGGCCGAATATTTTTTAAAAAAGTATTTAAAAATGTAGTTTAGTAAGTTATTCTGCTAATTGCTTTGTAAATAACAAGTGTTTTGTATTCAATAAACTTAGATTCCTTCAGAGTTAAAGGCGACTAAGAGCCGGGCGGTGGTGGCGCACGCCTTTAATCCCAGCACTTGGGAGGCAGAGGCAGGCGGATTTCTGAGTTCGAGGCCAGCTTGGTCTGCAGAGTGAGTTCCAGGACAGCCAGGACTACACAGAGAAACCCTGTCTCGAAAAAAACAAAAAAAGAAAAGAAAAACAAATTTATTTATTTATTTATTTATTTATTTATTTGAGTACACTGTAGCTGTCTTCAGACACACCAGAAGAGGGCATCAGATCCCATTACAAATGGTTATAAGCCACCATGTGGTTGCTGGGAATTGAACTCAGGACCTCTGGAAGAGCAGTCAGTGCTCTTAACCACTGAGCCATCTCTCCAGTCCCTTAAAGTACTTTTTAGATGTTTTATTTTGTTCACTTATGTGTCTGGGGCTGAGCAATGTGTGTTCCATGCTGCATGCATAGAGGTTAAAGGACAACTTGCAAGAATCAATTCTCTTTAGGTCCCAGGGATCAAATTTAACTTATATTTGGCAGCAAGCCATTTGGCCAGCCGACAAAATATATATATAGAACAAAACTATAATCTTGCATTTGATTTTTTTGTTTTATTTTGTTTTTTTTCAAGATAGGGCTTCTCTATGTATCCCTGTCCTGTCCTGGAACTCACTCTGTAGACAAGACTGACCTCAAACTCGGAGATCCGTCTGCTTCTGCTTCCTGAGTGCTGAGATTAAATGTATGTTCCACAACTACTGCTTTTCTGTCTTCCTTCCTTCCTTCCTTCCTTCCTTCCTTCCTTCCTTCCTTCCTTCCTTCCTCTCCTCTTCCTCCTCCTTCTCCTCCTCCTCTTCCTCTTCCTCTTCCTCTTCTTCCTCCTCTCCCTCCTTCTTCTCCTCTTCTTTCTTCTTTTGGTTAGGAACCTTTTTCTTTATCTTAAGAAAATGAAACTCCTGGAAGTTACAGCTTGTTCACAGCATTAAGACATTAGAATACTTCAAGGAAATCCTGATTAAGAGAAAGGGAAGTTTTTCCAAGGCTTGTCTCCTCCACTGTCCCCACTGTTTGGGCCCCCTGTTAAGTTTACAACCTCAAAGGAACAAGAGCCATCCCTGGACGGGCCTGGGACAGCCACTGGAGCAGAGTGAACGGATCGGGGGCAACAGAAGTTCCTGGCTGTGCCTAGTTGTCTCTTCTGCCAGGCCACTGTACTCCTGGCTCACCTCTGTTGTGTGCGTGCATCTGTGTGAGTGGAATTGTGCTTTGAATGTTCTGCAGAGGAGGCCCTCAAAGGAACCCCACGGAGGAGTCGTTTGTAAAATGAAAAATCCTTTTGTAAGGTGAATAATTGTATTCTGTTTATTTGCTCTGGAGACTTAGAGGGTTTTGAGATTTTCTAGGTAGAGAGAGACTTGTTTGAAGGCCATCTGGCCTACCCCCCTCTTCACCCTCACTCCTCAGGTGCTGAAGCCTCATTTGTTACCTCAGTGACAAGAGACTCATGACTCACACAGTGGGCCCTTAGGTTTTGCACATATTAGAGACAGACTTGTCTGGAATAAGAGCAGTGATTGCACGCTGTCATGCCTCAGCTTGGTACTTGACCACAGTGAATGTGACCCCTGAGTGGGAGGGTTGAAGGATCCTGTGGTCCTCACTCTCCTTCACAGACATGATTCTTACCCTCATGGTTCCAGTTTGACTCTGCTGGGTATCCTGTCCCACACGTCTTGTCACCCATGGGCCACAGCAAAGAATGCAGCTCTCAAGGCGTTCACTGTCTGAGGTGGATCTATATGCTGTGTCATGCACAGCTCAAGAGCTTTTCTCGACAGGGATAAACTTGCCATTGTCCAGTCTTAAAGCCATGCTGGAATGTTCTATCGCTAAGCCCTAGCCCTCACTCAGCACTTCATGGAGTGGCTTCTTTTCGTGACAGGGCTCTTACCTGAAGAGGAGGGGTCTGATCCCAAACTGACAGAACTCTCTCCCTTTCCTCTAGAACTGGTCAGGCATGAAGTGCCAGTTCAAGCTGCTGCGGATGGCTGTGGCCTTGATCTGTAGTGAGTATGGCTGGGCCTTCGGGGACGGGTGTTGGGGATGTGTGTGTGCAGGCTCTGTCCTTACCTTTCAAGAGCTTGTAGTAAAGTGAGGCCTATCAGAAATGTGTCCACGGCAAGGACATTCTGAGAAAACCTTTCTCTTTATATTGCTTGATACTTCTTAATCTTTTTTTGTTTTGTTTTTTGAGACAAGGTCTTATGTAGTCCATGTCGGCCTTGACCTTTCCATCCTTCTCTCTTCACTTCTCAAACGACGGGGTTGAGGCTTCTGTCACCACACTGGTTTTGATATGGAGCTGGGATTTGTGTATGCTGGGCAAGCACTCTACCACCTGAACCGTATCGCCCAGACCCTTCCTAAATTTAAAAACATGGTCTTTGTCTCATGTATGTGTGTGTTTTATCTGTCTGTATATTTGTGAACCACATGTATGTCTTGTGCCTAAGGAGGTCAGAAGAGGGCATCAGATCCCTTAGAACTGGAAGAATAGAAAGTTAGGAGCCACCATGTAGGTGCTGGGAATTGAACCGGTGTCCTCTGCAATAGCAACAAGTACTCTTAACCAGTGAGCCATCTCTCACAGCCTCACTTCCTAAACTTTTTATAGACATTAAGTACGTAAATGGAAGCCGGGCGGTGGTGGCGCACGCCTTTAATCCCAGCACTTGGGAGGCAGAGGCAGGCAGATTTCTGAGTTCGAGGACAGCCTGGTCTACAGAGTGAGTTCCAGGACAGCCAGGGCTACACAGAGAAACCCTGTCTCGAAAAAAACAACAACAACAAAAAAAAGTATGTAAATATAAAAGTACCCAGTGACCAGTGGGGTCAAGAAAAATAGCTGCATGTCCTTTTTGGGTTATGAACATGGCCTTTTAGAATATGTGTGTATTGTACATGCACTTGTATGTACATGCTGGTTTCTCAGGCTGTAGACATGGCTTAGAGATTAAGAGCACAATTGCAGAGTGCCTGGGTTTGGTCCCAGCACCCACATGGCAGTTCACAACTGTCTGTAACTCTAGATTCAGGGAATCCAAAGCCTTGGTCCCTGTGGGCGTCGCACATGCCTGGTGCACTTACATACATGCAAGCAAAACACTCAATATACATAAAAATAAAGACTTAAAAAAAAAAAAAAAGAAAGTCTTGCCCGAAGGTGTGACACACGTCTATGATCCTAGGACTTTAGGAAGCTGGGGACAAAGGGTGAGTTTTTGAAAATTTTATTTAATCACTTTTATGGGCATGGGCGTTTTGCTTGCATGTATGTCTGTGTACCATATGCACACAGTGCCAAGGCAGACCAGAAGGGGGCGTCAGATCCCCTGGAATAAGTTACAGACAGTTGTGAGCCATTGTGTGGTTGCTAAGAATCTGAAGAGCAGTCATAGCAATCAAGCATTGATGGTACACTCCTTTAACCCCAGTCCCTGGGAGGCAGGGGCAGAGGCAGGGGCAGAGGCAGGGGCAGGGGTAGGCTCAGGGGCAGGGGTAGGCTCAGGGGCAGGGGCAGGGGTAGGCTCAGGGGCAG